CCTATAGAATACTCACATTAAGTGTTTTCCTATGTAGGTAAAAATCTGTTTAACAACCTGTTAAAATACACCAGAATTTAGGAAATGACATTTACTTCTTTAAAATGTTATGGGGGAGGACCCCCAGACCAGTGGGTCCCCCCTACATTACAAATAATTACTCTTGTTTTTTGTCTCTGAATGTCATAAAATCAGTGATATTATCTGTGAAATTACAAACTGAACATCTGTTGGCAAAAGTCCATAGCTTTATATTGCCATAGTTTTCAATTTGTCATTTTTACAACCACATCATAAATTAGTTTTGGTGTGCCACCCTCGTTTTTCAGTGCCCCCCCCCCACCCCATGGCCCCCCCGAAACAATTTTTATGCAGGCGCCACTGTTTTAGGCCTGTCACAATAAACAAATCAATTAATCGTATGATAAAATAAATTGAGGAAGATAAATTAAAACGAACACAATAACTTTCATTTTCCTGATTTTTCGTTTTCTTTGTGTCTCCCTATTTTTTTTACTTATCGTAGATGAGTGAACTCTGGTGTCAGGTCTTTGCCAGATGCATGGTCTCCTGAAGCATGAAAGCCCATCAACAGGCATTTAGGAGTGTCTTCAGTTTTCTGACGCCTTCATACAGCTGGCGACACCTTGGGATTGCCGACAGTTGCTTTTTCTTTTTACACGATGTAAATTTTAATGTAAACTTCCATAATCAGGGTTGTTATATCATTATATTAGTTTAAACAATATTATCGTAATAATTTCTGAGGGTTTGAGTCACACGTTTTACAGCAGAGCATGTTCTTCTCAAGTACCCGTCTCCTTCCTGAGCCGTGGGATTTATTTCCTAATGAAAATGGTACCAATGATGAAACAGAGGTTGGAGGTCATCATTTCTCCTTTTGATAATCTTGACTGATTTCTTTTCTTTCTTTTTTTTTTAACCCGTGATGCAGCACAAAGAAGCAGCCTGTTTGAGTTGCACCGTAGAATAGATCCACAGGTGTTTCTCTAGTTAACTCAAATGTTGTCAGTGGACCAATGAAAAGCCAGGCCAGCATTGTAAATAAGAATTTGTTCTTAACGGTCTGCCTGGTTAAATAAATGTTAAACAAAAGTTTAATGACAACTTTAGTGCACATAAACTTGTGACTTGGAAGAGCGTAATTAAAACCACTGCTCATTATTAAACATCTGGTTTCAGTTGAACTCAGGTTCTAAACCAAACTAAGAATTTTTTAACAAAGCTCAAGTCGAGATCAAGACCAGAAAAAAAACACCCAACTGATTACAGCCTGCTGGCTCAGAGACTGAAATAAATTTGAAGGTAAATTTATGAAAAAATAATGAAGATCCTCATATACATCTGTATGGCAAAAATCGGTGTAATTTACAGACAGTCTGTCCAACTTGAAAAATAAATAATTATCATTGAGTCACACTTTGATTTGAATCGGTACGTTTTACAACCAATGAAAGTAAAGATGTTTACAAATAAACTGGACAATATTCAGACAATTTAGAGATATTTTTACAGTTGTGGCCTCGACTGGTCTTGAAATAAAATCCAGAGACCTTAATGTCCAACACAAGACTGAGTACAAATGCTGCGGAGTCTGAGACAAGACTGAGACCATCAGAAAGTGGTCTTGAGTACTACAACACTCCTTTGACCCTTTTGTTTTAACACTGATGAGCTAAATGTTAGTCCAAACACAGCCGAGACCAACGCAGCTGGAAAATGTGTAAATTTATTTTTCAACAAAATATTGAGGAGAAGAAAAAATTATTTTAGTCTCTTTTGAAAATGACTTGGACCCCTTTTAAAGCCTAAAAAGGCTTTAAAAAAATCAAACAGGATCGAGGCCACTCAGTTGGGTTTGTTGCCAAAGTTAATAAGTCAAAGTAAATAATACTTTTAAAGAATAAAACTACTGTTTTTGTGTGGAGGTGAGTTTTACACAGTTCTGAAGTTGTCCCTGTGTCGTCATTTATAAAATGCAAACTCTGTATTTGACTATTCAAAGCAGCAAAGAGTTGAGGTTTAAGCAGCTTCAGGACTTTCGGCCCTCCACGCTGACTCACATGAAGGTGGTCTGTAGGCTCTCTGCAGGAAACCTGGCTCATGTTGTTGGTGACTCCTCAGCTGTCCTTCACCTCCATGTCTCACCAGTCCTGGTGGCAACAAGAGGGAGGCACTGCAGCTGTGGACACCTGAAACATTTAGCGTTGGTTTCTCTGACCTGTCTGCCGGCTGATGTCAGAAGGAACATGTGCAGGTCCTTCTTGTGATAAAGTTCATTATTTTCTGTAATGTACCGATAAACATTAAACTTTCATATATTTTAGATTCATTGCACACCAACTGAAGTAGTTCAAGCCTTTTATTGTTTTAATATTGATGATTTTGGCAAAAAAGTAAAGAAAAACCAAAAATCCCTATCTCAAAAAATTAGCATATCATGAAAAGCTTCTCTAAACGACTTATTAACCTAATCATCTGAATCAACAAATTAACTCTAAACACCTGCAAAAGATTCCTGAGTCTTTTAAAAACTCCCAGTCTGGTTCATTACTCAAAACCACAATCATCGGTAAGACTGCTGTCCAGAAGGCCATCACTGACACCCTCAAGCAAGAGGGTAAGACACAGAAAGACATTTCTAAACGAAAAGGCTGTTCCCAGAG